GTGTCGAGTAAGAGATTGCTACGGCTGAGGTCAGAGAGGTCTTTTCCTGCTTTCTCCTCTAAGGTTTTGATGGTTTCCTGTCTCACATTCAGGTCCTTGATCCATTTTGAGTTTATTTTTGTGAATGGTGTGAGAAAGTGGTCTAGTTTCAACCTTCTGCATGTTGCTGTCCAGTTCTCCCAGCACCATTTGTTAAAGAGACTGTCTTTTTTCCATTGGATGTTCTTTCCTGCTTTGTCAAAGATGAGTTGGCCATACGTTTGTGGGTCTAGTTCTGGGGTTTCTATTCTATTCCATTGGTCTATGTGTCTGTTTTTGTGCCATCAATAAGGTATTTTTTAATTAAGGTATGTACATTGTGTTTTTTAGACAATGTTATTGCATACTTAATAGGCTACAGTGTAGTATAAAAATAATTTTATATGCACTGGAGAACCAAAAATTTCACTTGGCTTGCTTTAAAATGATATATTATTGCAGTGGTCTGGAGCTGAACCCATGATATCTCCAAGGTATGTCTATATCTGGAGGATCATATCTCAAGGTCATAAAAGCCATATATGAAAGACCCACCGCTTGTATCTAGGATGTGGTCTGTGATTACCTTATCTATAGAATCATGCTGGAATCTGGGCACCCAAGCTTTAAACCCAAGGGTTTAAGAAGAAAATGACCAAAATGGTGTAAAGATTTTTTAAAGTCCTTTTAGTGCTATGTTAAAACTGACTACAAGTATTTGGAAAGTTCTCATGTGAATGATCTTGGTTGCTCTACTTGGTAAGACCTAAGGTAGTAGAATTGGGACCACTGGGTAAATATTACAAGGAAGAGTAAAAATAAACTTTCTAATAGTATTTTTTAAAATGTCTTAGCATCTAATATACTCTCCATCCAGCTGTTTAGGCATCAACTGGCCAGGTGTTCAGTAGGAATATGATCGTGAGGATTGAAACATCAAGTGGGTAATTTGATGAATTTGGAGTCTCTTTGGATCTTGAAGTTATCTGTGACAATTCAAAAGAGTTAATACACTGGTTTTGTTACCTTACAAAAGGAATGGTAAACCCACGCTATTTTTGAGAGTATTATTTTTAAAATCTCTGCAGTTCCTATTTTTTTCAAAATAAAAACCTAGTGTTGAGGCCTATTATTTGAAAAGGACACATATATATATACACACACACACATTTTGTTTAATATCCACAAATTCTTTTGAGTGTAAATTTCTTAGAAATATTTGAACGCCTATATATTTTGAGAATATATTTTTTTGTATATAGTGAAACCCAAGGAATAATTTTTTTGTTTTATTTTTCAGAGGTTGAGCTTTTAGTAGTCAAATATGTGATTCTGGGGTGCCTGGGTGCCTCAGTTGGTTACACATCTGACTTTTTTTTTTTAATTTTTTTTTTTAATGTTTATTTTTGAGAGAGAGAGAGACAGACAGGGCGTGAGTGGGGGAGGGGCAGAGAGAGAGAGAGGGAGACACAGAATCGGAAGCAGGCTCCAGGCTCTGAGCTGTCAGCACAGAGCCTGACGTGGGGCTCCAACCCACAACCCATGAGATCATGACCTGAGCCAAAGTCAGACGCTTAACCGACTGAGCTAACCAAGTGCCCCCACACATCTGACTCTTGATCTCAGCTCAGGTCTTGATCTCGGGGTCGTGAGTCCAAGCCCCATGTTGGGCTCCATGCTGGGTATGGAGCCTACTTTAAAAAAAAGAATGTGATTCTGACTCCCTTTGTATCAAAATTGGAGTAAATGTGTTTCAATCCTTAGATGGATTGTGATTTCCCTGAGTCATGCTTAATTAAGGCTTCAGGCATGCCTATACACAATTTTCTAGTCAAATATAATTAGCCTCAACTTCATTTATGTTAAAAGTTTTTATCAAATTCTTCCTTTAAGGGTTAAATGACTTGTTATTATAAAGAAAAATGTAAGGAAGTAGTATGCCACTTTCAAATATGAATGAAAAAAAGCCTTTTTACTTCAGTTTTCTGTAAAAGAATGTACTTTTCTCAGGCATATAAAAGACCTATGTGTCTAGCAATTCAAGTTCACTGGTTTAATAATAAGTAACAAATACCCAGTTTTCATGTACATAAGCAGTTATTATCTCATGTTTTGTTGCTTCTGAATCTGCACACATTCTGAGGATTCTTTCTGCCAAAATGGGTAAATTTTAAAACTCAGTGTGAATAGTAGAATAAGTTGAACAGACTGTTAACTTCGGGAGCCTACAGAGAAGTCTGTATATGAATGTAAAGGGAAAGCTTTCCAATCCAGAATTAATTTTAACAGTATTTTTTTCAGTTATGGTTGTTTTAACTGTTTTAAATATATATATTCCATATTTTGAAATAAATTTGGAATCATTTTCAGTCCATAAGTATCTTTAAATGAGTATTTCTTGAAATTATTTTCAGTCCCTACAATTTCTCTGGTAATAGGTAGATTTTGTTCTCATTTTTTTACTCATAGAAGATAAAAATAAGAGAGAATAGGAGATCTGATACATAGACTTAGTGATTTTTATGCCATACTAGGCTAGTTTAAAGCTTGATACAGAAGCCTGTATTTCTGTATACAGAAATATTTCTATACAGAAATTTCTATACAGAAATCCTGAATTTCCATTCAGTGCTATCTCCCCAAGAGTAGAACAGTTTTGACATGCCTACCTCATTTTACCTTTTTTCATACTCGTATATTGTTTTTTCTTTGTTTATCTGCCTTTTAATCTGTTACTGGCTTCTTCAGCAGGCAAGTAAATGTTTGTGGCATTTGCAAAATAAATTTAATGAATGGAGGATACTAAGATTTGAAATAAAAGCTATGGTATTGTACTTAAATTCTGATTCTCTTAATAAATTACGATAACTTTATTCATATTACTCTTAGTTTTCATGATTACACGAAGTAATTCACATCATACTTATTATTTGAATGAAGAAATTCCTAATTCTCAATCCTAAATTAAGTTATTCTTTTGTCATACTTCTTTATGAAAGAAAGAATACAATAAATTACTACTTTTTAAATGAAATTTTTTAGTATTTGATTTTTTTTTTTTTTTTTGCCTAATAATTTGCAAAACTCTCATTAGTGGACCTCTAATAATCTTCCAGAATTAAAAATTTTTCTTTACTACTTAATTTCTCTTATTCTTTGTACTGTTCTATTTGCCCATATGTTTTCTTTGTTTATATTGAAATAGTCTAGCCCTGTGTCATTCTAAAATTTTTCTTTGCTTCTAAGCTGCTATACCATTCGACATATATTCATCCACTTGCATAGAATTATATCTCAAGCAGTACTCATTACATCTTAAGTGATTCTGGTTTTTTCCCAGTAAAGGCTTCAGTATTAGTACTATTATAGTGTTTATGAAAGCATTAAGAAATTTATTGTTGAGATGAGAAATATGTATTCCTTTTTACTCTGGACAAAAGACTCTGAAAAGAACTGGTAAGATACTCTCATATTCATATCACAATGTGTGAATTTTATTTTATGCCACGTACAATCTGTCTTCCTTTTTCTTTAGTAAGTATTGGTCTGATCTGAAATTCCTTGTCCCACCAGAAACAGTAGCCTAGAGAGTCCTTTAGCCACTCACGGATAATTAATTGCTTATAATTGGATTTAGAAGGTGCTGGTTCTAAAATGATATGCCTATTCTTCACCTCAAAAGAACATATATTGAATATTTTTGTGTGGCAAGTCAAAATACATACAGACACACTGAGCAATTTGGTATTATTTTCCATCAGTCCTTTTTCTTAAAAAAAAAAAAAAAGAACTGGGGGCTTCTGTGGTCAAAAGGGATATGTACTCTCTATCAGGAGAATTAATGATGAATGCCAGCATTTTTACCTGAAATTTTGTGGGACAGAACATCTTTATACATGAATGGACTAGAATTATCAGCATATTTTATTGTGTCGATGGAACAATTGATGTAGGGAAACACTGTTTCCATACCTGCCAACATAAACCTCTTCTCAATCCTGAATAACTGAATGTCACTTCCAGAGCATTGATTCCCTTTTTGTCTTATAAAATCAACACTGTGCTCTCACAGTCTATCTTGGTTCATATCCTTTTTCAGCTTCTTATTTCAAATTTCATACATGGCACAAAAGCTCCAAGAATGGGACAGAGAAGTCCTGTACAGTTGACCCTTGAACGACATGGGTTTGAACTGCACGAGTCAACTTATATGCTGATGTTTGCTGAGAAATTACAGTATAGTACTGTAAATGTATTTTCTCTTTCTTATGATGTTTTTAGTAACATTTTCTTTTCTCTAGCTCTATTGTAAGATTTTTTTTAATTTAATTTTTTATTTTTTTAAATTTACATCCAAATTAGTTAGCATATAGTGCAACAATGATTTCAGGAGTAGATTCCTTAATGCTCCTTACCCATTTAGCCCATCCCCCCTCCCACAACCCCTCTAGTAACCCTCAGTTTGTTCTCCATATTTATGAGTCTCTTCTGTTTTGTCCCCTCCCTGTTTTTATATTATTTTTGTTTCCCTTCCCTTATGTTCATCTGTTTTGTCTCTTAAAGTCCTCATATGAGTGAGGTCATATGATTTTTGTCTTTCTCTGACTAATTTCACTTAGCATAATACCCTCCAGTTCCATCCATGTAGTTGCAAATGGCAAGATTTCATTCTTTTTGATTGCCGAGTAATTCTCCATTGTATATACATATACCACATCTTTATCCATTTATCCCTTGATGGACATTTGGGCTCTTTCCATACTTTGACTATTGTTGATAGAGCTGCTATAAACATGGGGGTGCGTGTGTCCCTTTGAAACAGCACATCTGTATCCCTTGGATAAATTCCTAGTAGCGCAATTGCTGGGTTGTAGGGTAGTTCTATTTTTAGTTTTTTGAGGAACCTCCATACTGTTTTCCAGAGTGGCTGCACCAGCTTGCATTCCCATATTGTAAGATTTTTTTAGTAACATTTTCTTTTCTCTAGCTCTATTGTAAGAATACAGTATATGTAATACATATAAAATGCAGAATATGTGTTAGTCAACTGTTATTGGTAAGGCTTCCAGTCAGTGGTAGGCTATTAGTACTTAAGTTTCTGGGGAGTCAAAAGTTATATGCAAATTTTCAACTGCACAGGCAGTGGGTTCCCCTGACCCCTGCATTGTTCAATGGTCAACTGCATATCTTTTATCCAGATTGACTCCTTTTTAACATTTTGCTACATGTATCTTTCTTATTCACTCTCTCTCTCTCCCCCTACTGCCCCCCCCACACACACAATTTTTTTCTGAATAATTTAATAGACTGATTGCATTGTTTACTGTTACTTCTTCACAGTTTATTTCCTAAGAGTAAGAATGTTCTCTTACATAACCACAGTACACTTATCAAATGCAACACAACACTGATAGCAATACTTTTATCCGTTTTTGTCAGTATATGTATACACACATACACATGGCCTTTGAACAACACAAGTTTGAACTACACAGATCCACTTATGTGCAGATTTTTTTCAGTAAATATAGTCCAGTACTATTTAAATGTATTTTGTCTTTCTAATGATTTTCTTTTTTTCTTTTTTAATATTTATTTACTTTGAGAGAGAGGGAGCAAGTAAGCATGCACGTGAGCAGAGGAGGGACAGAGAGGGAGGGAGAGAATCCCAACCAGGCTCTGCACTGTCAGCGTAGAGTCTGACGCAAGACTGAAACCCCTGAACCTGTGATATCGTGACCAGAGCTGAAATCAAGGCAGATGGTTAACCCCATTGAGCCACCCAGGTGCCCCCTCATTTTTTTCTTAATAACATTTGCTTTTCTCTAGCTTCATTGTAAGAATGTACTATAGAACACATATAACATACAGACTGTGCATGAGTCAACTGTTCATGTTATAGGTAAGGCTTCCAGTCAATAGTAAGCAACTCCTTAAGTTTTGGGGGAGTCAAAAGTTACACACAGATTTTCAGTGGTATGGGGCAGTCAGCACCCCAAACCTCCACATTCATTGTTCAGGGGTCAACCATATAGATCTTCCTTGTGAGAGCTCATCTATTCAAACTGTAACTTCAGGAAATGACCAACAGTGATTTTAAGATCAAACCATACCATTTTTGTGTCTTGGATTTCCAGCCAGCTCTGTACATTTTTATCTGAATGCCTTTCTGGAACTTGAAACTCAGTATTTTTGAAACAGACTCCGCTCCCTCCCAGATTCATTCCTCCCAAAACAAAAAATTGCTTCAACTGACTTCAGTTCCATAATTGTACCACCATTTTGAAGCCATTTCTGCTTGAACCTTTAGAATAGTAGACCTTCCCCCTTGCTGCTCTGTGTAATCATTTGTCATTCTGCCCCCACTACATTTTACCCCTGTGGTATCTCTGAAATCCTCTTCCCTCCTGTTTGCCACTATACCGGATCAGCGTCGGTGTCATGTTGAAATTGTGTACAGTAAACTCCTAATTGGTTGCTCCGTCTCTCCCCACTCAGTTAATCCTCTTGTCCAAACCTGTTCCTCCTCCCATAATTTTGCATTCTGACTAACATCATCATTTACCCAGGCACTTGAACAAGAAAACTGGTGATTCACAACTACTTTGTTTTCCCCTCACCCCACGCCATCTATTCAGCCAATGAATATTTATTGATAACTACCATGTGCCACTCACCATGGTGGATGCCGGTATATATTAGTAAGTAAACTGGAGATTGCCCTAGTGAGAGTCCATTTGAGGAAGACAAAAAAATAAGCAGTTAGATACTAATTATTATTATGTTTTCATGATTGTTATGAACTAGATAGATCATGTAAGGAAGAATAATGGACTGGGCAGGGTATACCATGAGAGGATAGTCAAGAAAGGCCTCTGACATTTAAGCTTAGCAAATGTCTTTTTATTTTCCTTTCTAAATATATCTAATCATTCCCCTCCGCTTAATCCCAGGTGCCACTGCTTTAGTTAAGTCTGTATTTTCCCTGCTTGAACTATTTATGATAGTCTCTGAACTGTCTCTGCTTTCAGTTTAGTCCTCTCTATTTCATCACTCACTCTTCCAGAGTAGTTGTTCTAAAACTGAGAACTCTGATCCTGTCATTCAACAGGATGCCATCCAGACTGCACAGCTTAGCATTTAAAGTCATTCACAGACACCCTGCCTATCTTCTCAGACTCAGATCTTTTTTTTTATTCTCTTCCACATGCTTAAGACAAATTGATCTCTTGTAGTTTTGTAAGTGTATGGTGCTTTCTCTCTTATCCCTTTATATGTGTCCTTTGCTAGGAATGGCCTTTTCCCTTGTTCATATATCATACTCATCTACTAGGAAGATAGCCATTCATTTGATAAGATTGAACTCAGTGATCACATCTTCTGTGCAATCTTCAGAAACATTGTAGTCTCTTCTCTCAGTTTTCTAGTGTTATATTTTAGTTGTGTGTTTATTTACTAGTCTCTCCCTGTGAAGTATTTGGGGGTTTTTTTGAGGTTAGAGATTTTGTTCTTCCCCATCCTGTTTCTCTAGTAAAGCCTCTACACAGTGTCTTTGATAAGTAATTCACAATAAATCACTATCAATTGCAACTGATTAGAGTTTTCTGTATTCATTTTGACTTAAAATTGTCCATTGTGAAGGCAGTTTGAATGCTGGAAAGAATGTGCGGGGCTCTTCCTTATATTACTGCATTAGTGGTTCCCAAATCTACAATCACCTACAGAATTTTTTTTTCTAGAAGACATAATTCCCTTGCCTCCCTAAGAGTCTTAGTAAATAAATACCCCTGTAGAGAGCGCCCAGGAATTTATACTTCCTAGAAAGTTACCTGAATGATCCTGATGTATCCTTTCCTCGACTCTGAATGTTGAGGAAACACCACTGTGTAATAGTCTTTGAAAACACTTTGTAAACTAAGTATTAATGAAATATTAGTTATTACCATTTATCATTGAGACTAAAGCTTTAGTACCCTAAGGTATGAAAGAAGTTGAGGAAGTATTACCTATCTTCTTCAAACACTTACCAGATTGAGTACCAGAAGTCTGGAAATAAGCAAATATCCTCACTCTGAATGGTTGAGGAGGAAAGATTTCAGAAACTATTTACCAATAAACTTGAATTCACCATAAACATTCTCAAATAGATTTTTAAAAAGATAGCATTTAGAAAAGGAGATGGAGAAGCCACTGTTAGTTAACTGTTAAAGTCTTGACAAACTACTTTTACTTCTCTTGTTTTGAGGTATTTACTAGAACCTCTAGAGGAGAATGTCAGTGACAGAAGGTATTCTAATTTCAGCAAGACACTTTATTAAGATGAAGAATATCTTGGTCAACATGTGGAAAAATGTGAAGTCAATGACACTGTAAAAAAATGATGAATTGAAAGCAGTTTAAATATGAGTTTCAAAGAATGTTGATTAGTAGATTAACCTAGAGGAACATTACTGATTAAATGCTTTCAGGCTTTTTACTTATTTTTTAACCAGTCATTGGTTAAATCAGATTGGTTAAACCTAGATTTCACACTGAGCCCAGTGGGTAAGTCTTTTCAAATTTTACATTTAAACACACCTTCATCCAGTTAATAAATTGAGCACCTTTTACCTGTCACATACCCATTTTGATGTCCCTCCTCCCATTCCCAATGATTAACAGGGGAGTAAGTAAGTTGGCTAGTTTTGCAAAAAATTAAAAGCTAGGAAACTCAGACCTATGGTCTAAAGAGGAATTTGCTATTAAAGAAACTCAAAGGAACTCTGAAATGTTAAGCTAATGGAATACTTCTAAAATTGAAGATTTTGTAACAGCATTTTTGTGATATTCTGCAAGATGAAGGGGTCCCTCTTTTAGTCGAACTTACATTCCTATGGCAACAAGAAAGCACAGACCTTGTAACAAAAGATATATGACAAAGCAAACAGCAGAAGAGCAAAAAAAAAAAAAAAAATATATATATATATATATACACACACACATACACACACACACACACACACATACACACATATATATATAAATTATTAAGATGGCAGAAGACTGAATGTATGTTTTCTGACAATTGTAAATGTGATGAAATGCTATTATAAAAAGAAATACAGTTTGGGTCAAAAATCACATCCATAAGTGACTAAGGATGTTTAAAGATGAAAAAGATAAAAAGGGAAAAGTAACACAGTCTAAAACTTGGACAATAAATAATTTATTGAAAATTGTTTTAGGGGCTCCTGGGTGGTTCAGTCAGTTAAGTGTCCAACTTCAGCTCAGGTCATGATCTAATGGTTCATGAGTTCGAGCCCCTTATTGGGTTCTGCTGACAGATCAGAGCCTGGAACCTGCTTTGGATTCTGGTCTCCCTCTCTCTCTGTGCCCCTGCCCTGCTTGCTCTGTCTGTCTGTCTGTCTCTCAAAAATAATAAACATTTAAAAAAATTACAAACATTGTTTTAAAATAAGAATTCAGGATCTTGAGAATGTATACACAATGAATATACTGGCTGTTTTCCAGTTTGGATTATATGTCCATGCCCAGACGACTCAATTGTTACCAGGGGTGATGGTCACGTTTTAAACACACAATGTGTAAGGGGCGCCTGGGTGGCTCGGCTGGTTAAGCATCCTACTTCAGCTCAGGTCATGATCTCACCTTTCGTTGGTTCGAGCCCCGTGTCTGTGCTGACAACTCAGAGCCTGGAGCCTGCTTCGGGTCTGTGTCTTCTATCTCTCTGCCCCTGCCCCTGCTCATGCTCTGTGTCTCTCTCTCAAAAATAAACGTTAAAAATTATTTTAATTAAATAAAAAAAAAAAAACAACCCATAATGTGTAGGAATAGTTTCTAGATAAATTCCTAGGTAAAAGGGTGCCGAACAGATACTACAATGAATTATAATAGAAATCAATAAATAGTTGATGAAATAAAGAAACAAAGCTCAGGAAATTTTTAAAAAGTCCATAAGCACTTTTTCACTGAATCCATCTTAAGGCCACGGTAAAGTTACAAACAAAGATATATTTAAGTGTTCAGCACATTAACTGGCTTAAAGAGAATGTTGGTAGTAAAACCAAGATTTCAAGTTCATTCATCTTCTAGACCTTTGGCAGTGTGGCAAAGTGGAAGGACTAGTGAGTTTCGTGGCCTTTTCTGAGTCTAGCCAGCTGCCTCATATATGTGTAAAAAGTGGAGAGAGTAGATACAATGAGTACAAATATGTAAGTACTGCTACAAAAAGAACTCAAGTACATGCCCTCCTGGTGACTTATCAATAACATCATGTTTGCAAATGAAGGAAAGCACATTATTATATGTTTACACGATTTTTAGGATGCTTTCTTAGAAGTCTAGAGTCAGAGTTGGTCATTATGTATGTGAATTGAACCAGAGAGAGTGTGTATATACGTTTATATAGCACCCCCCCTCCTTTTTTTTTTTGTAGGCTGTTGCTCTGTTGCTTTGGGGGAAATATTCATAGATTTACATTTGGTAAATATATCCATGTCCAAAAAAAGATATGTATAAAAATTGGAATGCCAGCTAACTAAATCAACTCATAAAAACTTCAGTTAAAAGTAAGATATTTTCCACGATTATTTTAAAATATGATGTTTACTGGAAGGAAAGTCCAGAGAATTACCACAGATGAAGTGTGAGTATATTTCTCCTACTTGTAAATGAGCTCTTATTTCCTACAGTGTATATTCTGGTCCACAATGAGTCATTTTCAACATGTTTCAGTTTAACTCCTAATACATTTTTAAACTTGGCAGGCATATTTAGATGAACATTACTTCCAGTTTTAGAGAGTGCTTCTAAATTATACTTCAGTATTGCAGTCATCATGAAAAGTTCTTTCAGTAAAAAGGAAACAGGATTGATTGGAAGTGTGTGTTTTAGAGGAGCAAAAGAATGGTTACCACTGAATAAAAGTCAGATAGTTAAGCTTTTAAAAATTTTGTTACTATATAAACTTCTTTTAACATTACCTAAAACAGTTGTAGTTCGAAAGCCTTTTTTATGGATAGATGATACTTAAAAGAAGAAAAGATAAGATTTATCCCAGAATAAAGTTAATATGTATTAATCTCTTACTATACCTAGCACTATTTTAGTGTTTTATATGTATTAACTTTTTTAATGCCCACATAATAAGTATTATTTATTTTCTATAAATCATTCAGGTTTTTTCTATTATAATACATGGAGCTTGGCACATTTTTGGCCATATAACTAACTAGAGTTGCATAACTGCTTCTAAAAGCTAATTACTTCTTAGAGAATTTTACATATTGCCAACTCTTTTTTTTTTTTTTTTTTTTTTTTTATTTTAGAAAGAGAGACAGAGACAGAGTGTGAGTGGGGGAGAGGCAAAGAGAAAGGGAGACACAGAATCTGAAACAGGCCTCAGGCTCTGAGCTGTCAGCACAGAGCCCGACGCGGGGCTTGAACTCAAAAACTGTGAGATCATGACCTGAGCCAAAGTCAGATGCTTAACCAACTACTGAGCCACCCAGGCACCCCACATATTATTGCCAACTCTTGATAAGTATTTGTGCAATCCTGTGAATCTTCTGACAGATTTCAGTTGACCAACCTGTCTGTTGTTACTATTTTAATATCCTTTTTTTCTATTACGATTTTTTATAATTTTTTTAATGTTAATTTTTGAGAGAGAGAGAGAGAGAGAGAGAGTGAGCGAGCGCACGGGAGAGGCAGAGGGAGAGGGACATACAGAATCTGAAGCAAGCTCCAGGCTCTGAGCTGTCAGCACAGCCCAACACAGAGCTCAAACTCACAAGCCATGAGATCATGACCTGAGCCGAAGTCAGACGCTTAACCAACTGAACCTTCCAGGCACCCCACTATTACAATTTTTATACTGTGCCTTATTACTTTTAACACTTCAAAAGTTCCCAAAAGTTTAGAGTTGGGAAAAACTTTGAGATCATTGAAAACATTCAACTCATTTTGAAAATGAGGTAACAAATCTAAAGAGGTTATACAACTTCTTCAGATAGGTGTCTGCAGGGCCATACACCCTCCGGAAACTCTAGGAGCAATCTGTTCCTTACTTCTTCCCTCTTCTGGAGGGCTCCAGGAGTTCCTGGACTTCCTTGGCTTGTGGCCATCTCACTCCAGTCTCTGCCTCTGTCTTTACGTTACCTTCTCCTCTGTATGTCTTATAAGGATGCACATAATTGCATGTAGGGGCCACCCAAATAATCCAAGACAGGGTCTTCCTCTCAAGATGCTTAATTTAATCACATCTACAAGGACCCTTTTTTCAAATAACAGTATTCACGGTTCTACAGACTGGTACATGGACATGTATCTTGGAAAAGGGCTACCATTCAAACCACTGCACTAAAAAATTGACTTTTAAGTCACTTGAATTAGTATTTATTCAGGTTCTTCAATAGGAGTAACATTTTATTTTTACATTTTCCAACCAGAATTTTATAAGGTGTCACCTAATTTTAGGAGTTGTTAAAATGCTATAAAGTTGGTTTGCTTTTTTAACTTTCCAACATGGCATTAAGCAAATTATCAGCTCTTGAACAAATAGCACCTTAGAGATTCCAGATGCTGTACCGTATGATCTATGACTTATAAATGAAAAGTCATCCTACATGATTTTTAGTAAGATTTTTTAAGAACATCATGGCAGTGACATTAAGGGTTAAAGAAACAGTGCTGGACATTTTTAAGACACAGCATAAAAATATAGCTTTAAGGTAAGCTATATTAACTCCATTTAGACTTTTAATGGCTTTTTTTGTATAGCAATTAAATTTTGCTCTACTGTATTTGAGATTCATTAAATAAGACCTTGGATGCTTCAATAATATAATGACTATTTTATATTTTATTTTTGTTCTACTTACTTTTTTCATTTGGCAAACTCTTAGCCCTTCCTGGTTTTAGTAAATGTTTGTGTGTAACTTGTGTATTTCTATGGTATATGCCAGAAATGTGATCATTTGGTTTCTTTTTCCATAGAAATCCTTCTACTAGCTGTGAAGATATTCTGAATTCCTTTTCGCCATTAAAGTGTATTACTGTAAAAGAAAGAAGAAACAAAAACTATATATTATATAATTCTGTGCTTTATACAATTAAATGAGATTTAATATGCAATTTTAAGTTCTCAATAAGTGTTAGCTATTATTTACTATCATCATCCGGTTGATTTTTAAAGCAAGACGTGTCTGCGTTCTCTTTCAGCATCATAAAGGTAAAGGGTTAGGGGCAGACTATGACCACCAGATCTGGTAAAACTATTTCATGCAGATGGATAAACTTCACTATTACAAAGCTCTCTGAAGGAGGTCCCTTTCTTCAACTTACTATTTAATTATTAATAATTTATACTATTGAGATTTCCCTTGCATTTTTGTAAGTTTAAAAAATAATATCCCATGTATTTTTAAATGAATTTTTAAACTGAAAGCCAATATTTTTTTCCTTTTTAAAATGAAAAGTCTATATATTTGTAAAAAGTAGGAAATGAATTAATGCGTCTTTAAACAGCAAAACTTAACTGACATCCACTTATCTATTTTTAGAACTCAGATATTTTCTTTTAATTCACTGGGACCCCAAATGTGAATTTCTATTAGTTAGATTATTCATAGGTACTCCAGACATTCTGATGCCTATCATTTCTAAAATTCTTTTTGTCCAATGATGGGAAATGACCAAAAGGGTACATCTCCCTGCCTCCAGGCCAAGAGCGCACCCAGATCATTCTAATCAGATAGGCTGTTTATATGTAAACCTGTAAAGGAACTCATGTACCTATAAATGACAATAAAATGTCAGCTTTGAAACAGGTTTTTAAAGTAGTTTACAGGAAAATCAAGGTATGGTTTATGAGAATGGAATGTTCTGTATGCTTGTGCCACAAACATGTCTAATCATATTCATTTGTCATCTTTTGCCATTGGTTAAACTGTGCATTTGATCCAGAAATAAGTCAACAGATGTTTAAATGAGAAATATGTGTTGTGAAATTCAATCATTTGTATATAGTAAACAGGTTGTGTTAGCCCAAAGTTATAGCATTTGTAAAATGTATTAGATTCTTTAACTAAAGCACTGATCTCTAATTTTTTTTAATGAAAACTATGAACTCGGTGCTTCTAAAGGAAAATAATTTGTTAGCCAGTTTTCCAGGTCTCTAGCTGCTTTATACTTCCACTTGGTAGTCAGTATAGCCAATGATACCTCTTT